GACTGAGGTGTTTATAACTAAAAGTTTTCTAAGCCAGAAGGAGGAGACCTGGGCTAGGCGCTGGGGTTGGAGCTGGCAGAGAGGGAGATGACCAGGGCCTCCTGGAGGCTATTTGCACATCCTAGGGAGAGGAGCACTGAGCAGCAGGAAGGGTTTCCCAGATGCGTGAGCTGCTTTGGCCAGGGCCTAGACCCCAATGGCAGGGCCATCCTGCTTGCCTGCCCTGTGCCATGCACTGGCAGTTCTGGGCCTGAGGCTCCTGGGTCACCAGTAGCCGCAGACTGGGTGGTGTCCCAGTGTGGTTCTGGCTCCATCACCCACTTGCCTTGAGCCAGGGAGGAGCTAGTGTCTCCAGGACTCCATGGAGCCCAGGATTCCTTCACCTTCAGAGAATAACTGTTTGGTGCTGGGCAGCTTTTCAGTCCTGGTTTACCTGATGATTTATTGGTATCTCACGTTTACCTGCACCCTGTGGGAAAAGCAAGATGGCCCGGCATAAGGAGAGAGACAGCAATGTCCAGCAGAGGTGGACCTCTTGTTTTCATAATCGAAGGCAGGCTGCAAGGGGCATGTGATTGTTTAGCTCTAACGGTCCCCTCAGAGTCTCCCTTTGCAGGTGGGGCCTGGTTGGAAGGGGTGGGAGTGTGGCTTGGAAGCGGGTGTTCTCATCTCCGCTCCTCCATTGCGTTTCCTGGCCACCGAGTGGTGAAGGGCTCCCCTCTGCCGCTCAGGTCTCTCATGTATTCTCTGTCTTGGGACTGGCTTACTGCTGACTGAACCCCCCAAAACTACAAGCCCAGCCTCTATTCCTTCAAACTGTGGGTACTGGAAAGTGACTAGGACACGGTGGTGTTTTGGGGGATCCCAGTGATTCTTTTTTTTTTTTTTAATCTTTTTCCCTTTTATTGGTACTGAGGATCCAACTCACAACTGCCTGCTTGCAAGGCAGGCGCTTATGCCGCTCAGCTAAATCCCCAGTCCCATCCCAGTGATTCTTAAGAGGTCCGAGACCTCAGAGGACTGGCTCTGATGGCAGAGGGAAGCCAGGGCGCCCCATTGCACGCCCAGCCCTGCCTTCTGCCCAGCAGAGGTGGCTGCGGACAGTGAGTTCTGAAGAGCACCCTAGAGTTACTTGGGGACCTACGTGGAGAAGGAAGGGGCTTGTGCAGGTTCTCGAAGTCCAGAGAACTCGTGCTCCTTTCCTAATGTACAATACTCTGCCAGCATGGTCGTGAAAGGTGCTGCAGCCAGGGTGCACCTTCTCCCCTCCTCCTCCTCTGCCAAGTCACTCAGGGCGAGGAGATCAAGGCTGCAGTGCCCCGCAGGGAGCCCAGAGTCTTCAGAGCAGTGAACACACAAGTGTGGAAATCCTCTCACTGACCCCAGGAAGTTGCCAGCTCAGACTGGAGGAACCCATCTCCTGGCTCTGCTGGTGGCAGAGCACCCTGCACCTCCTGGCTGGTGCCACCTCCCCTGTGGAGCCTCCCCACATCACCCTACTAGTACACGGCCCTCCCATCATCCCTGGACCTTGGGACTTCACCTGTCTCTGCAGGTCCACTGCGGTGTCACTCTGTTTCTGTATCTGAAGTGACATCACTGGACCCTTGCCCTGCTCTGTGCCCTCAGGGTGCGGTTAGGGTCTCCCATTTGAGTAGATGCTCAGCTAACATGGTCTCAGCAGAGACACAAAGTCTGGGTTGAACATGGTGGCGCGGGCCCCTGTGCTCCCAGTGTCACTGTAGGAGGCTGAGGCAGCCTGGGCAAATTAGTGAGGTTCTGTCTTAAAATATCAATATGAAAAAGGGACTGGGGACGTAGCTCATTGCAAAAGCCCTGGGTTCAATCTCCAGTACCAAAACCAAACCACCCAGCATGGTCCCAGGTTGCCTGAGCCAATTCTGGGCCCTCTGCCCTGCTCACTCGCCCCTCCCTGTGTGTCCCCAGCCCCATAGGTGTCCTATCTGTCCCCGGAGCCCAGCCTCAGCCACACCGGCAGTATCTCCCGTGAGAGGTCCTCCAGGGCCTGGCTGGGGAACATGGGACTCCAGCCGGCTGGGGCAGAGCAGAAGGCGGGGCGGGTTGGAGACTGAGCCCGTGAGAGCAGTAGGGAGCCTGTCCCAGGCGCCCGACAGCCCTCTGTCCACTCGAAAACGCTTCCCCTGCCAAGGTGGCGGCAGTCAAGGAGGAAGCTGGCTCCCACCACAGGGCTGGGCGGCACCCGCTGTCCCTCGGGTGCCCCGCCCCAGGCTCCTGGCTGAAGACTGTGCTCCTCTATCGCCACAGCCCTGCCTGTCCCTGGCCACTTGGCCAAGCCACAGCCTCGCCTTCCCTCTGCCAAGGCAGCTCCTCTTCCGGTGGGCTGCTGGAGCCTCAGATTCTCTGGCCAGGGACAGCTCCTCTTCTGCCCGGCCAGCCCTGGATGCCACCTCCCCAGCCTGAGTCAGTGCCCGGCTGGCTGCCCCAGCCCGGGCTCTGGTCTGGGCGTGGTCTCTGAGTGAATCTGCTGCTCGGCACTAACGTTTCTGCATTTTGGTCTCTTCGGTTCATTGATCGGGAATCATATGATCTTTTAAAAACACAGCTGGTGGAATTGCCCATCTGTGCTTCCACATTTGGACCCATAAATCAGGCCGCCCGGGACAGACTGAAGCCTGCGGTTCTGTAGGCAGCTGCCCTCACCGCGCCTCCAGTGCAGGACTCTGCTTCGCTGCCGCACCGGCCTAGACTGGGCTGCGGGGCCTGGGTCTGTTTCATGTGCTCATTTGTTTCCTCTGAGGACTATTTGCTCTTTACATGGAGACTCACTGATTACGGGCGAAGCACCAGTCTATACACACACATACACTCACACACACACACACACACACACACACACGCACGCACACACATTCACTTCCCAGGCAAACTGGGTCTAGAGTCCTTAACTACAGCAGAGCCCAAGTTAGGAAACGTTCTCTGTGCTCCTCCCTCCATGTCACACACGCGGGACCGTGGCTGATACAGCACAGGCTGCCAGCTGTCCCCCAGTATCTGGTCTAGGTCAGCACACAGGCACCCAGAATCAACCCTAACTTACCAGCCTCCTTTGCAGCTGCATGTCTGAGATCCAACCAACGAGACAGAAGTAGAAGAGTCCACCTAACTTCTGTAAAACCTCTTTTAGCATGCTTCCTTTCTTCCTTCCCACTAGCTAGCATGCATGAACTGTGAGGTGAGAGCTGGTGTTATGGCAGCTGTCTTGGAACATGAGGATGAAGCCTTTGTTAGGAATGGTGGAGGTGGATGCCAGCGTCTTGATACAATATAATCAATAAAATAAATTGGTGCCTCTCGACTTCTGGCATTCACGACCTGTTCAGTTCTCTCCTCCATTCAGCAGGGCTGGCCTGTGTAGCCGAGAGGCTACTGCAGAAACCGCAGTGTGTGAGTGCTGAAATGATGACCTGTGAATCCTGACGGATCCCTAACAGCTGTGTTCAGTCTCTCGGAGCATTTGCTCTCGGTGAGCAGAAGCCAGAAGCCAGTGCCAGCCTGCAGGTGACCACAGCCCTGCACCAGGGCCTCAGCCAGATCAGCTGGCCAGTCACACCCACACTGACCCTCGAGGTCATCAGTGTGTGTCCTTACGGTAAGCCGCTGAGTGGTGAGGTGGCCTGTTACCCAAGGGAGGACAGCAAGTGACAAAACAGAGGGTCCTGGCACCCTGGGCACCGTCCTCAGGCTGCTGCTGCTGGTGCTCTTTGGTTTTGTTCTGTTTATTGAGGCAGGGACTCCCTGTATAGCCCAGGCTGGCCTCAGACTCGTGGTGATCCTCCTGCCTCGGCCTCCTGAGTGCTGGGACCATAGGTGTGAGCTGTCACTCACCTGGCTGTCACTCTCTTGGAACTATTCACTCAGAAACTTATCTAAGAGTCACTAGCCAGGGGGGCCTCTTGGAGACCCCCAGTCATCCTTTCTGCCAGTTGTGGGGTGAAGTCTAAAACTTCCTAAGATGATGGACAGTGTATGTCAAACAAAGGAAAAGGAGCCGGGCCCAGTGGTTCTGGAATCCCAGCCCTTGGGAGGCCGAGGCAGGAGTTCCAGGGCAGCCTGAACAACACAGGGAGACCCAGTCCCAAATGAACAAAAAAAAAAAAAAAAAAAAAAAAAGGAAGGAAGGAAAGAAAAAAAAAAGAAACTGTGTAATAAGGACCTCAGACCAAGGATCAGGAGCCCCTGGAGCACCCGCCCATGTGGAGTCTCACTGACCCACCTGGAGTCTGGCCCTGGTGCAGCTCAGACACACTGGGCATGCTGGGCTTTGGGCTGTGCCAAGCCACCTTCTGAGCTGACAGCAGCCCCGCCGTGGCCCAGCTGTTGCTGGACACCATGAGCCTGCCATGGACATCTCCTGTGGCCTGCTGAGCACGTCCAAGCAGGGATGTGACGGCAGGCGGGCAGCTGGCGGGACTCGGGGCAGCGATCCTGTGGCCTGTCCCTTTCCTGTGCCCAGCTTGCAGGACAGGGCCGGCCTCCTTCCTCCCCTCTGCCTGTTTCACCCAGATTCCACTGGACTAAGCTCCCGAGATAACTCCCGACGGGAGCCTCACAACCAGCAGGCCTGGATCGTGCCCTGCTTCTCCCTCTTGACTCCTGCCTCTCTCCGACATCTGGGCCTCTTCCCGGTTCTTCTGGTCCTCCCTGCACCCCTGCTCTTGACCGTGACAGTGGCTTGTTTTTTGCGTGTGGGCCTGAGGATGGTTACAGCCCCCCACCACCACCTTTTTTTGAGACAGGCTCTCGCTGAACTGCTAAATTACACAGGCTGGGCTTGAACTTGCTCTCGGAGAGCTGGGATTCCGGGTGTGCATCACCGTGTCTGGCAGCGAAGACCCTGTGCCCCCAGAGACTTCGACTGTGCCCTCAGATTCACCTGGGTCATCTGGACGGCCCACCACTCCTCTCAAGCCCCCCTGTGCTAAAGTAATGCCGGACGCTGAAATAAACACATCCCACACTGCACAGCGGCTCAGTCTAGTTCATGTGTTGAGTGCAAGAAACCCAAACCCAGATGAGTGCTCCTGAGTGGGGCATCTGTCCCTCAAGGGGTGATTCAGGGACCCAGGACCTATCGCATGGCTCTGCCGTCTCAAACTTTTGGTGTCCAAGGCTGGCTGAGAGTGGGTGGCTTATCACCCGCAGGAATTTGTTTCCTTTGGTTCTGGGATCACGATGTCTGGGATCAAAATACCCACCTGCTCAGGCTCAGGGGTCCCCTCTTCTGGGGGGCAGACTGCAAATGCCTCCTGGTGTTCTCACCTGGAGGGAAGAGACCAAGTGGCTGGCAGGCCTGGCTTTTCAGGGGCGTACATCTCAACCCGAAGATACCACCCTCTGAGATCCCCCCTCCAAAGACCTTTCTTTCCTTTCTCCTCCTCCTCTTCTTCCTCTTCCTCTTCCTCTTCTTCCTCTTCCTCTTCTTCTTCTTCTTCTCCTCCTCTTCCTCCTCCTTCTCCTCCTGCTCCTCCTCCTCCTTCTTCTGTCTTTTTGAGACAAGGTCTCTCTATGCAGTTCAGGCTGGCCTTGAGCTCACAGCAATCCTCCTGCCTCAGCCTCCTGAGTGATGAGATTCCAAGCGTGCGCCACCATGTCCCACAAAGGTCTCAGTAGTGCCAGGCGGGGGTCCACGGCTTATTTCCCACGACGAGTTTCCCAGTACCCTCTACCCCTGCCCCTGCGTCACTCTCAGCACCTGAGAATCTGGGGGCAAAAGGGCAGGACGTCCCTGCACTTCCCCTCTCCCTCCCCACACCACTCCCCGCACTGTGTCCAGCCCCCAGTCTGGCTCCTGTGGGATGCTTCTCCCAGGATCCCCCAGCTCCTCCACCCAGGACAGGGCTCAAACCGCAGGTGCCGCCACCCAGCACCCCTGCCCTGCGGCCTCTCCCTCCTGTGACGTGACAGTCTCACCTAGCAGTCATCCGACCACAGACTCGAGGGCAGTCTCGTCCAGCCCCTCAGGTTAAATTCTGGCCCAAATGTTTTGCTTTTGTTCTTGCTGGTGGTAGTGCTGGGGTTGTATCCAGGGCCTTCACACTGAGCTATGTCCCCGACCCTTTCAATTTTCTATTTTGAGACAGAGTCTCCTTAAATCATTAAATTGCCCAGGCTGGGTCCAAACTTGTCCTCTTCCTGTCTCAGCCTTCCAGAGCACTGGGATTACGTCTGTGGATCACCATATCCAGCTACAAAACCTTTCTTTCCTTCTTTTCCTTTCTCTCTTTCTTTTCTTTTGAGACAGTACTTTGCTGTGTAGTTCAAGCTAGCTTTGAACTCTCTTCGTAGCCCAGGCTGGGCTCACATTCATAGTGCTCCTCCTGCCTCAGCCTCCCGAGTGCTGGGAATACAGGTGTGCATCACCATGCCTGGCTCCCATACCCTAAACCAGTCCCCTCTACTCCTCTCCTCCACTCCTTGCACTTGTGCCTGTCATAGCCCCTGGAGGCTTTTCCTGCCTGTAGTTGCTGGAGCATCCAGCAGTGGCCACAGCGATTATTCTGGAACATAGGTCTGATCTCAGCACCCCGTGGTCAAACCCCATCATCTGCAAGCAAAGCCTGGACTTCCCTCTGAGGTTCCCAAGACCCAAATTCCCCCTTCAGCCAGCAGCTCCTCGACTTTCCAGAAACACTGGGCTTCCCTTTGTACCTCTCCACTGGCCTGGGGCCCACTCGGGAGCTATGGCTGGGACCTCCATGGCCTCCTGCCTAGAATACCCTCTGCTTTCCTCCCCTGAGCTGGCCACCACCCTCGCCAGAGCTCTCGAGCCTCTGCCTCCAGCACCACAGACAGGAGCAGCTCGCTATGGCTTTCCTGGCACCTCAGCGGCTGGTACAAGGCTCGGCATCCAGTAGGTGCTCAATGCATGCTCACTGCGGAAGTGAAGAGGGCAGAGAAGGTACCCGCAGCCTTTATTTCAGTCTGCTTGCCTTATGCCAACCTGCCTTATGCTGAATGAACCTTTCCTGCTCCTGCTTGTGAGAGCCACATTATATGTGAGTATGTGTCTGTGAAATGTGATCCTCTGCCCGAGAGCCTGCCCATTAGTTAATCATGCCTGGCTACCTGCACGACACCTCTTCTCTCAGAGCACTTTGTGTTGAGTGCTGGGCCCTCCTGCCCCGCCGGAGCTGCAGGCGACCCCATGACTGACGGCTCTCAAGGACCACACAGGGGTCTGGGAAGCAACCAGAAAGACACAATTTCTCCCTTTTTTTTTTTTTTAATCTTCTTTTCCCTCTTCACCCTACTCTATCTTTATATAGCTTTTCTTTTTGTAGTGCTGGAGGTCAAAGCTAGGGCCCCGCACACGCTAGGCCAGTGCTCTCCCGAGAACACCTGTTTAAGCACACTGACAGTCCAGCGGCACAGAGCGAGTTGGGCTTGCTGTCTTCTGTTCTCAGAGCCCCTTGCTCCCTGCCCTCCAGATCCCGGCCCAGTGGGACCACACCGATCCTAGGTGCCCAGCCGGGATCTGCAGGAGACTCAGGATGCCTGGGGATAGGGGAGCCGCACCCCTCAGGACTTAGGTCATTTGTCAGTGGTGCTCTCTTAGGTAGCCAGCTAGCCAAGCTGGCTGCAGCCAGAGGGGGCCCCTGAAAGCAGGAAGTCACCGAGGAGCTGGAGGCTCACTGGATAGCTGTCTCTCTGTCTCTGTCTGTCTCTGTCTCTGTGTCTCTGTGTCGCTGTCTCTCTGTCTCTGTCTCTCTGTCTGTCTGTCTCTCTGTCTCTGTCTGTTTCTCTGTCTCTCTGTCTCTCTCTCTCTCTGTCTCTGTCTCTCTGTCTCTCTCTCTCTCTCTCTCTCTCTCTGGACACACAGGGCTCTCTCTTTGCGCTTCTCATCTGATCCTTTTCCGCACAGCCCCTGGTCATCCTTTACAAGGCTGGAGGTTCATGACCCATCGTGAGTCAGCCTGACTCAACCCCCGCGTTCCCCACCGTAGGAGCAGGAAGCCAAGGAAGCCAAGACCTCAGAGCACTGGCTGGGCCCCGCCTTGGGGATGAGTTGGTTCTCTTGGCTTAGGTTTTCAGCCTGGGGCCACCACCAGGGCCCTCGAGGATGGGGTCAGCAGGTGCAAACAGGACAGAGGTGATGGAGACCACTGCGAAGTGACTCTGGGCAGGATTTAAAATGCAGGCTGACCAGTCTGTGATACAGCGGGGAAGGGCAGAGCGGGAGCCTGGGAGGCGTGGCGGCAGGAAGCCAAGTCCCAGTTAGAGAGAAATCGTGGGCGATGTTGAAATGTAGTGGGCATCCCGAATACCTTACCATTCTGGGTTATCTCTGCCTTTCACTACCTTTGGCTAGACCATGGCTCAATTTCCTAGAGACAGCAGTTCAATTATAAAAACTTGACACGGGAGCTGGGCACGGTGGTGCATGCCTCTAATCGCAGCATTCAGGAGGCTGAGGCAGGAGGACTGTCTCAAGTTGGAGGCTGCGCTGGTCTATGTAGTGAGCTTGAGGCCAACTTGAATATATAACAAGACCCTGCCTCACAAACAACAAAAAATACCAAAAACCAAAACAAAACAACAGATAACTTGACATGGACGGGCAGCTCGATGGCTGAGCACATGATAAGCGTGCACAAGGCCCCGGTTCAATCTCTGGCACAAGAAAGAAAGAAGAGAGAGAAAAAGACAGAGTGAGAAAAGAAAGCAAAGCAAGGCTGCTCGGATCCCAGGCGGGGGCACCAAGCGGGGCCACGTGCTATCACTGCATTTTATAAACTGTAAAGGGAAACACAAACCAAATACTAAGACAGCCTCTTGGCACCTGGCTCCAAACCAGCCATGGGCAGCCAGAAGTGGTTATGACCGGGCTGTGACATGCTTGTAACCTGCTGCCTGCCTCAGGGAAGAGGTTCGCGTTCCCACCCACAGGCAGAGGATTCTGGGCACCCGAGACACTCAGCTCGCCTCGAGAGCTGCACAGGTGACAGGACTTCCTCACTGCTCGGTGCCTGCCCCTGCCAGCCCGGCTCCCAAAAGACGGTGCCAGAGCAGGAGCCTGGCTCCTCCCGCCTCTCCTCCCTGGCAGCCTGAAAGCCGTCCTGCCCTCGATGATGCTTACAGCTGAAGGGAAAACCCCTACCAAACCACTTCTTGCACAACAGTGTGCTTCCAAGGATGTGCACAATGTTTGTCGACTGAATCATGCCTTCTCCCTGACTGATATGATGGTCCAGATATGCGCCAGCATCTGCACTCTCAGGTGGACTGTCCACTGGTAATGGCTCTCCACACCTCACCATCTTCTCTTCCTTAACCACCCTGTGACAGGGCGCTGATTTCCGTGTGCTCAAGTAGAACCTTTCTTCTAAGAATTCCTCCAGCAAGCAAGCTCGGCTGTTTCTCTGCTTTTTTCTTTTTTTCTGGTACCAGGAACTGAACTCAGGATCTGGCGCTTGCCAGGCAGGCGCTTGTGCCACTGAGCTAAATTCCCAGCCCTTCTCTGCTGTTTCTTAGTGGGGAGTACTGGGGAGATAGGCTACTCCTACCTGCAGGGGGACCCGCTTTCACCCCCTAGAGCCTCCCCCATCGTTGGCCTGAGTGTCTGTGGCCCCCTACTTTTGCACACGTGGCATGTGGCTGCTTCATTCACAAATTCCGCTCCAAGACTGAGCCCTGACCTCCACCATGTCACCTGAGCACATCACTCTTGCCTGCTGGCCGTCAAGGGCTCCCGGTGACTTCCTGCATGCAGTCCACGCTTCACGGCCCGGTCTTCCAGCTTCCCGGCTTTTCAGCTTGGCCCTGGCTGTCTCTCACCTCGTCCATCCTGAAGCCCAGCCTGTGCATTATCTAAGGCTGGTTTCTGATTTCTCACAGCTGCCAACAATGCCTGGTCTCAGTGCCAGCCTCTCTTACTTTTTTGGTATCAAGGATCGAACTCACAACCTTAAACTTGCCAGGCAGGGCGCTTATGCCGCTGAGCTAAATCCCCAGCCACCAGCCTCTCCTATTAACAGAATCACTGGGTTGGCTTTGCTGTAGGCACACGCGCTGGCAGCGCCTGTGCTAGGGTCCGGTCCTGGTGCTCTCAGGGCCCCCGGGTGAACGCACATCACGCAGACCATGTTCCAGACTGGTCCTCTCCACAGAGGAGCTGTTGACCCCTCCCACCTCCCCAGTTCTCAAGCCGTAGTGGAGCAGAGGCAGTTGTGTCTCACTGCCAAGGTGACAGCTACAATTATGCTCTGGCTGACAGCTGGAGATGAGGGAATGTACCAAGAGCCCGGGCCTTACCGTGCCCATGAGTCAGCAATTCATGCTGGATGCCCAGCTGGCAGGCGAGATGGGCGCCTCCCACCAGGCACCGGGGCCCCCTGGGTGGGCAGGTGACCGCCTGCAACTCTTAAATGAACACCTGAGACCTCAGGTGAAAGCCCCACTGGCCAGGGAAGGCTGCCCCAGGACCCACACAAGGCTCCCACCCTGAGGGCAAGTATGGGGTTGCTAAGCAACCACAGGGCAGGTCAAACCACGTGCTCAGGATAGAGGCTGCTATGCTGGGCAGCTGGACACAGCCTGACCACACCTGGTATGCTCCTGACATGCAGAGGGTCTCTATTGATACCTATTGTTGAGTTCCGTATGTGCCTGATGTTTCTGCCTTACATATGTTATATTTCTTATTCTTCACCCCAATCCAGGGAGGTAACTTCCGTTATTATCCCCAATTTACCGGTAAGAAAACTGAGTCCCAGCCAGGCGTGGTGCTGCACACCTATAATCCCAGCACTTGGGAGGCTGAGGCAGGAGGTTCATTGTGAGTCTGAGGTCAACCTAGATTACATAGTGAGTTCTAGGCCAGCCTGAACCACATAGCAAGATCCTGTCCCAGAAGAGAGAGAGAGAGAACTCAGACAGTCTTGGAGAGAATCTGCCTGAAGCCACACAGCTGGCAGGTGAGTATAGGGCCAGCACGGACTGGACAACCTGGTTCACGAGCTCAGTCGGTTCGTGGCTTCGTGTCCTTAAGTGCAGTCTTGGCTGCAGGAAGCGGAGCACTCTGGTGCTGTCCCCTTTCAGGTGACTTTGGCCAGGGAGCCAGGATCTCAGTATGGAAAATAAACAACAGCAGTTTCAGGTGACAGGTGAGAGGCTGTGGAACTGAGGAACGCATACCTTTGAGGAGCGGCAAGGATTTCCTTTTTGCCCATTTTTTGCATGTTCGGCAAATACAAGCATCCCCAGGAAGCTGCTCTGTGGCTGGTGTCACCTGGGAAGACAGGCAGGAGCTGGAGCAGTTCTTTCTCTCTTCACCCTTCCACCACCAAAAGGGGCTTGCCCTTCCCCTGGCCACGGTTCTAGCCTGGGTCTGGGGGAGCCTTGGGCTGAGGTGGTCAGACACCGCCCAGTACACCGCTGCCTGTCACAGGCCCCTCACGGGCAGAGCCTGCCTGTCCTCACACTCTGCCCGGACACAGGCAGACTGCAGCAAGGACAGACCAGCGGCCTGGGAACTTTGCTCGACGTGCCTCCAGATGGGCAGGACAGGCCAGCGGGGCTGGGGACTCAGGAGTGTTTGTGTTTCAAGCAGCGGCTGCCCGTGAATCACCAGTTTCATTTCATGCTTTCAGCTCTGCAAAGGCATCGTTTCCACCCTGCCTCCCATGGCGCTGGCGGCCAGAGCCTCTTAGCAGGGCTATAAATAGCAGATCATCAACTCACCTCTTCTGAGCTCATCACAGGGTCCTCGGTTTACTGCGCGTCTTCCAGCTGCCTGCACGTCACTGTCACTCAGATTTCCCAGATGAAGCCTGGCTGAGACACCCGGGGCACGCTCGGGGAGAAAGAGGAGGGGGCTGCAAGGTTTCGGTTCCTGGAGCCGTTCAGGGTGACAGCAAGGGCACGGCAGACTTTTGAAGAGCTTGACATTTACGATGTCATAATTATAATCTCGGGGCTCTGTGCTCCTCACCAATTAAAGGCAGCAGCAAGGGACTGTCATTTCTCTACAAGTCCTAGAAATCACAGGCAAAAAGGCGTCACCGAGCACACACCCAGAGAGCCACACGGAACAGGTAGCAACGAATGAAAGGGTCTGCACCTTCCTGAACCTTCCATCTCCCAATGCCGAGTGAAGCGGGGCTCCCTGGCTTCTGCTGGGCCTTGGTAGATTTCAGAACTGCTTCTAGTGCTGCCCTCCAGGGGGTGTCATGCACGGGCACAGCGCCAGTCCCCTGTGTGCAGCACCTTGTCAGGTCACCACAAGGGCCACACCGAGCCAGCTGTTTGCAGAACGGAGGCGCAGGTGGTCTGGCCAGAGTGGCATGGACCAGGCTGGATGTCCACACAGCGCAGCCAGACTGCAAAGCCTGCTCTCTGGACCCAAGCCTTGCAGCCTCTCTCCGAAGGGAGCCGTGTGTGTCCAGAGTTCACCGTGTGCTCATCTATGTGGGGCCCAGCCACCTGAACCCCGCTCATCTTTCCTCAGCTCCATGCAGTCTGGGGCCAGAGGCTTCTAGATTCATCATCGCCCAATCCCTGGCCCCCAGCTTCATTCTCTGCCGTGTTCTCTTGCAGGAAGGACACCACTGTCCAAGCAGCTCCTCGGCTGGCTTGATGGTTTCCCTCTTACTTCCCTCCTCCGGGACCCCCACTCTGGCCCTCACACCACGACTGCTGTTCTCTCATCTGCTCCCCGCTTTCGGATCACAGCCCATGCCTGAGACCGGACAGTCCCGGAGCAGACTCCTGCTTCCTCTGCAGGCTACCTGAGACAGGGTCTCCGAGGGAGGGGCCCAGGGTTAGAGTCTGTTGTAGTCAGGGGTTGTGCACAGAGAACAATTAGAATCAGGACATGGAATTTATAATATTATGTTTATAATGGTCACCATGAGTTAACACAAGAAAATGCAGGAAATCTATCCGCAACACCAAAGACATAGAATATTTAGTCAAGAGCCTAAATCCCACAGCAATGTCCCACGAGTCCAGATGAAAACCGAGAGCTCATGACAATGCCTCCCACGAGTCCATCTGGAGGTTCAGAGCCCAAATAAAGGACTCACACCAGTCTCTTTTACGGATCCATGTCGGAAAGGTCCAAAGGTCAGCAGTGGAAGCCAGAAAATCCATGCCAGCGGGGTGAAGGAGCTGTGGTGGTGGGATGAGGGTTCTATGCTGGAGTCGAGAAGTCACACTCACAACAAAGACCACGGCTGTCCTGAAGGCAACACAGCCATCCTCAGCGACATGGAGGCCTCAAGCTCCTCCAACGACAAGCATAGTCGGGTACATGCTAGGAAGCCAGTGTGAGGAATTCATCCTGGAGACCAAGCAGCACACGTCTTTCCCTCTGGAGCCAGGAAGCAATGCTTGATGTGAGGACCTGAGCTTCTCCAGGAGAACCAAACGTTCAAACAGCAACACATAGGAGAACCCACAATGCCTCAATGCAACAACGCATTAACGCTCTCCTCCATCTCACTATTTATGCTGGCAACTTTCCTCAGGTGCAGCAGCATCTATGCTCAGTGCCATGCTGAAGAAATCCAGCTGGCGTTAAGTTGACTACCAGTTCTTAATCCATAACAGAGTCCTAAAAAGTGGCCCTGTCATCTGTCCAGCCAGGGGAAGCACGCTCCGGCCTGCTAGCAGGGTGCCCTCCCCCTCTCCAACCTGCTAACCTGTGGCTATCAAAACTAAACAAACTCTTCCTTCCAAAATCCCGCTAAAACGACACTCTAAAGGAGTAACAAGAGGCAGGAGCGACAAGGTATCTGAGAGCAGGAGAGGCAGCAGCAGATGAAGGATGTCAAGGGTTTAGAGAGGTGAAAGGCAGGAAGGAGCGGGGTGAGTCAGACAGGGAGGAGGAAGCCTGCGCCTGGGCCTGCGGGGGCGGGGCGCGGGGCGGGGCTTCCGAGTGGGGGCGGGGCTGCTGCTGGTGCCTGAGTGGGAATCGTCTGAGGGGCGGGGTCTGAGGGAATAGGAGCGGGGCCCGCTGGGTGGTGCCTTAGAGTTAGGGCATTGCCTGGGGCGGGGCCTGAGGGGATGGGGCGGGGCTAAATTGCCAGAGAGCAGGTGAACTGGAAGCTGGAGCCTGCAAGGACCAGCTAGCTGCCAGCTGCGGGTCGAGGGTGGGTGTGGGTTCCTGCAGGACTCCTGGAATTTACTCTCTGGGGAACTTGGATCTGTATATCAGGCATTGTGCAGGGCAGGAAAAGATGGGGAATAAGTGGAAATTTGAAGCCATTTGCTGACAAGGGAGATCCCAAGTCATTTGTCTCTTGTGCTGCCTTTGTCAGGACCCAAGAGTGACAAAACACATCCATGGGCCAGAGGGTGCAGTTCAGTGCTAGGGCACACACTTTAGCGCTAGTGCATGAGGCCTGGGATTTGATGCCCACGACAAAAAAAAGCTTTTTAAACAAAAAATTAATAGAAAATACTTTAGCAAGGTCCGGGTAGCAAACTCCTATAATCTCAGCATTCAGGCATGAGGCCTGAGGCATGAGGCATGAGGATTACAGTGAGTTCAAGGCCAGCCTCTCTCAAAAACCAAAAACAACAAAAAATGTTTGCCATGTATTAATTACATCTCAGATTTGTTTCTATTCTGTGGACCTCTGTCTATCTATATGTCTCTTTCTGCTTGTTTTCTTTCTTTTAGTGATTTAAATCTTGATATGTTGCAGTGGCACAGATAGAGAAACCAGGCACAGAAGACAAACTCTGGGCCTTTAACCAGTTATTCATTAAAGACATGATTTATAGCCCAGCGTGACGGCACACTCCTGTAATCCTAGCATTCAGGAGGCTGAGGCAGGTGGGTCTTTGTGAGTTCGAGACCAGCCTGGGCTACAAAGTGAGCCCAAGACCAGCCTGAACCGTGTGAGACCCTGTCTCAATAAGACAAAAGAAAAAAAAAAAAAAAGCATGATTTGTGTTTTCTTCTGAGGCAGTCAGAGGCTTACAAGTGTTTTTTTACTAAAAAACAATAATTCTTTTTGGGCCTACAAGCACCCAGTAAATATCTAAATGCAGAGCAAAGCTTGACTTTCTTTTGCATCTGTCTTCTCCATTACCTTAAAACCCTGGGTCAGATTCTACATTCGCTCTGTATATTTTATTTGTTTGTTTATTTATTTACTAGCTCTGTATAAAAGCATGATAGTCCTTTACACATTGTCTGTCTAAAAGATGGCTGTAAGAGGGCAGTTAACCCTACACTGACACCACTAGCTCATCCCTCCCCTTTGAGACCAAGGACACGGAGATAAGAGATTTTCAGGGACACTCAACTACCGATGAAGGCCCAGTGTCTGCAGTCATTACCTAAGCCCATGCATGGTCACCTTGAATTCTAGCAGAGCAGCCACAAAGCTGAGGCTGTCCCCAGCAGAGACCGTCATCTCGCGGAGGCCAGATTAAGTGACAGGCAGCCACCGTGTGAACGGAAAATGAGATCACAGCCAGCCAGACCCTGTGCACCCCAACTGCCTCATGCCCTTCTCTTTCTCCCTTTTGTCAAAGGGCCAGTCTGGTCCTGTCCATTAGAGCGGTGCCCCTTCTGCTCCTTAAACTCAAGTCCCTTCTGTGTTTTCTCTTCCTCTCAAACTCTTTGTTACACACCTGCCTGGGTCACACTGACACATCCAGAAATGCTTTTCTAAGAAGATAAATCAAGGAGAACCAGGCATCCCAAGATCCGGCTGGCCTTGGTGGGACTGAGGCAGCTCATTCTCCCGCCCTCTTGTTAAACGCCCCGGACTGGGCCAGGAGGAGAACCAGGGCTCTTGTGAGCCTACAGTGTGAGGGCTGACAATCAACATTTCCCCCCATAGCTACTGGGGATAGATGTCTCAGCATCTCTTGGGTGGATGACCATATACAATGTAACAAATATGGGGGATTTCCTTCTATCTTCTGTTTGAAGGCAAAGATTGTTTTCACTGTTTTGTTTTGTTATGTTTCTTTTGCTTTATTCAATACTCTCAATTGGTTTTATAATGGTCTGTTTTTGGTTTGATTTCACTATACCTAATTGACTGGACAACTATTGTGAAGATAACGAGATATACCATAGTACCTATTACTACCATCCCAGTATCCTGCTGTGAAGTTCTGTACCAATTTCACTGCATTGTCTCGGTTGGCTTTGTTCTGTCTTGTTCTGTTGTATTTTTACTACTTTCAAAATAAAATTTAAAAAAAAGAAGATGTATCAAGAATCTGCTCTAACAGCTGAGTTGAGGTCTCCATCTCCTCCTTGGGGGACCTCCTCAAACCCCATCCCATGACAGTAGGGTTGCCAGACGAAATACTCATGGGATTATACTTACATTAACAAAGTTATTTATTGTTTAAATTTAAGTGAGCATCCTGGGGGATTTTGTCTATTTGATGGTTTTGGTTTTTTTACAGTCAATGCTAAGGATCAAAACCACGGTCTCACATCTGCTAGGCAAATGTCTACCCCAGAACTACACACCCATTAGCTAAACTGGGGGCCAGAAATGGAGCTTCTTTCATTAATCCCATAAAATAGAAAATTTCCTTTTCAATTAATACAGCATGGGAGGTGTGCAAGAAAGGACGAACCTTCCTGGTCCACTCTCGAGCGGTGACTTGGTATTGTAAGACAGCCATCATAACAGCCACTGCTGCCAGTTCACAGAAAGAGGGGCTGGGCATGTGGCTAAAGGGCATGGCCCTCACCTAGTAGGCCGAGGCCCTGGGGTACAGACCCAGCACCACAGAGAAAACAGATCTTAAAGATACACAAGTCTTCCGGAAGCTAAACTAATGTCTGAAATACATAAATATGTCATCTGGGAGCACACAGATGTAAATTTATACGGTAAACTAAAGAAATTAAAATCTGAATATTTAAAAACGCAGAGCATAAATATAAAGCATTTTCATCATTTTGACATTCACCATGCCTTTGGCAAGGAGGTGTCAACAGCAGCCAGCTAGGCAAGAGGTTTTGGAAGTCCTGTTGGAATTAAGATTAGCTACTAGCTGTGCGTGGTGGTACATGCCTGTAATTTCAGCATTCTGGGAAGCTGAGGCAGGAGGATTGCCAAATAGGTATCAACCAGGGCGATTTAGCAATTTAGTGATACAGTATCTATAAAATAAAAAAATTTTAAAAAGGGCTGTGGATGTAGCCCTGAGTTCAATCCCTAGAACAAAACAAAAACAGAAAACAAAACTACCACATGGTCTTACTCTACAAAACCACTGGAATGAATAGAAATAAGTTTGTTTAAGCATTTTCAAAGTTTACTAGGAACAAGTGATTGGGTCATATTTCTTTCCCCTCCTCCCTCCTTCCTTCCTGCCTTCCTTTCCTCTGTCCACTGCAAACTGCACTGAGAATCTCACCAGTGCTACCAAGTGCTCTCCTACTTAGCTACATCCCTAACCTGTTTTGTTTTACTTTGAGTCAGGCCTTGCTAAGTTGCCCAGGCTGCCTCTGAACTTGTGATCAAGAACTTGTGTCTTGGGCCGGGGATTTAGCTCAGTAGCATAAGTGCCTGCCTGGCAGGCACAAGGTCCTGAGTTTGATTCCCAGTGCCGAAACAAAAATGAAAAACGAACTTATGTCTCAGCCTTCTGAGTATCTGTGACTACAAGCATGTGCCATCACTACCAGCTAGGATTTTCTTAAAAAAACAAACAAACAAATAAAGGGCTGGGGATTTAGCTGAGCGGCGAAGTGCCTGCTTTGCAAGCGCATAGTCGTGAGTTTGATCCCCAGTACCAAAAACAAAAAAAATAACAAAAAAGTAAAATACTTGTGTCTAGTTCAAACATGAATTTAGTATAGAGATTAAGATGGCCATTTACTTGAATTGTCCCAATGACAGGACACTCTGTCCAATGCAAGGGAGTATTTTGTATGTGTCAGCTGTGACTGTTTGCAGTTCTTCTGTTTAAAAGATGAAATCTGAAGGCTGGGGGGGTACCTCAGTGGCAGGGGATGTGCTTTCTATATGCAAGGACTGAGGCCCAATACCCCTTTCCTCCTCTAAATGGGGATGGGAAGAGATAAATCTGGCCGCACAGGGCATTAATATTTTGGCCCTATGCTTACTCTGAAAAAAAAAAAAAAAAAAGAATGAGCCTCCTTCTCCAAGATAGCCCTTCAGATCTGTATAGATGCCGCAGGGCCCCTCTGACCGGATTCTTTAGCTCTCTGCCTGTTACCTGGTCTCCTGCCTCTCCTTCCTGTGAACACTTCGGTTCCTCAATGCTGTGCTTAAAATAAGGGGCTCTGGGCTGAAGGTCTTCGGATATGGCTCAAAGCACCAAAACAACAAAGGAGTTTAGCTTTCTCTGATCTGAACACCAAGCCTCCTTCCAGCAAAGTAAGACAGCCAGACTGCTTTTTTAAAAAGCACGCCAATTTTATGGTTACCTCGGGTCTTGTCTAATTCAGTAGGAAAAGTCACACTTAGGTCTTCGACAGGCTGGGATATTCTCCTATGGAAACTGTCGCCTTCTATGAGTACAAATAATGCTTTAATGGACAGACTTGTGTAAGACAGACGCCAGCCTGACTCTAACCCTTACTACCTGCGCTCCGGCCCCAGCATTGGGGTAACTTTCTGCAGTAGGAAGCCTTTGGGGGCTGCAACCTCTGTGGCCTTGCCATGCTAAGTTGAGGCAATTATCATAAGTGCTTAGTAAACGTTTTTGCATATTATCTGTCCCTGTGAAAGTCCTGTGGTATGGGAGTCAGGTTTCTGAGAATTTAGATATTTCCACAATCACTGTAGGTCAGTTGGAGATTGAAGCTGAGAGTCTAGCTTTACCGTTTTTATTTATTCTTTTGAGACGGGGTTTTGCTATATAGTTCAGGTTGGTTTGGTAATCCAGGTTGGTCTTGAACTCCACACAATCCTCCTGCCTTGGTCTCGGCCTCCTGAGGTGGCTGAGATTACAGGTGTGGGCCACCATAACCCGCCCTACTTAGTATTTGTAATACATTCACTTTCAGTTTTTTCAAAACCGAATAAAGCCCTGTCTTCAGGTCGCTGGGTCACTTTTGAACATTTCATCGGGTGTGAAGGAAAAATAAATTTTTTCCCTCCTTGATACATACTTACTATCTAGTGAGTTTTTGTTGTGGTTTTGTTTTTTGTTGGTTTGACTTGGGGCAACTGAACCCTGGGCCTTTCCACTGAGCATATCCCCAACCCTTTTTTATTTTCAGATGGGGGTCTTGTTAAGTCACTAAGTTCCCCAGGCTGGGCTCAAATTTATAATCCTCCTGCCTCAGCCTCCCAGGTTGGTGGAATTACAGGTGTGCACCACCCTGCCACAACCATTACAAATTTAAAACACTTGTCTCTGGTGCAAATAAAGAGGAAAGCAGGCGGCCATGGTTCATGTTTCCACCACCTGCTAGGCACCTCCAGGAACCATTTCCAGAGGAATTTGCCCTGGTCAAATTGGCCCTTCTGGGTGTGGACGCCGCAGAGTTGCTGGAGGGTGAGTCAGGAGGAGCTGCTGTTACCGCTGGCTGCATGAGTCAGTGCTGGGGCTTCTGGGCCTGGGCTTCTCCAGGACACCAGCCACAAGTGGGAGCTGCTCCAGAGCGTCTGTGAATTCAAGAATGGGAGCGCAGGTAGGCACCGCGGCCGCATCATCAGCTGTAAGAGGTAAGCACGGGGGACTCAGGGGCACGCTTTCTGGGGAGTAATTTTGGCAAAACAGAAAAAAGGTTTGAAAGTGTGCATGGTCTTATGAATCAGGAATTGCCTTCTCGAGATTCAGCAGAAGGAAGAAAAAGGCTCTCTATAGTAGTAGTTTGTTTGGAAGTAGAAGTCAAAACAGCACTGATTAAATGTTTTTAGTACATGCTTTTAAATCGGGAAAATGTTTCACTTTAGGAGGAAGAGAGCAGTAGTTTGGTTCTAGAGTCTTGCATTCAACAATGCTGACAAACTTGCAAACTATACTATGAGTCAGAGAATTAGTATACAGAATATATAAAGAACTCAAAACAAGAGGCTGGAGGTTTAGCTCAGCGGCATAAGCACCTGCCTTGCAAGCAGGTGGTCGTGAGTTCGATCCCCGGTACCGATAAAAATGAAAAAGACAAAAAAAAAAAAAAAAAGTACTCAAAACAACACCAAAAGAATAAGCAGTCCCATCAATAATGTCAAATTAACTAAATAAACACTTCTCAAAAGAAATAAAAATGGAGAATAATTATGAAAAAAATCCTCAACATCATTAGCCATCAGAGAAATGCAAACCAACCACACTCAGATTCTATCTCATCCCAGTGAGACTGGTTGTTATTGAGAAACAAAAAACTTTAGCAGATGCTGCTGGGAATGGTGGTACACACCTGTAATCCCACATACTTGGGAGGCTGAGGCAGGAGAAGTGTTAGCTTTAAGGCCAGCCTGTGCAATTTAGCAAGAGCTAGTATCAAACAAAATATAGGAAGGGCTGGGGATGTAGCTTAGTGTTAGAGCACCTCTGGGCTTAATCCTAATGAATGAATGAGTGAAAAAATAGTTGGTGAGGATGTGAAGAAAAAGGAAACTTACACACTGCTGATGGCCACTGTGGAAATCAACATGGAAGTTCCTCCAGAAATTACAAATAAGCTAGGTATGATGGTGGTATGATGGTGCACACCTGCAATCCCAGCACTCTGGAAGGCTGAGGCAGGAGGATTTCAAATTGGAGCCCAGCCTAGGAATTTAGCAATTTAACAACAGTGTATCTCAGAATTTTAAAAACCAAAAGGATGGAGGATGGAACTCAGGGTTAAGGTCCTGGGTTCAATCCTGATACATCAAAAACACAAACAAAAACACTAAACTCTATGAAGACTCCTGAGTATACAGCAGAAGCAATCAAAGTTACTACATGATAGAGACACCAGCACTCATCTATTTATTAAAGCTCCATTCAAAGTTGTCCAACTAGAAAATCATGCTAGATGCCCATCACGGAGGGTACACACGCATGGTGGAGCAGTACTGAACTATAAGGAAGCGGGCAGTCCAGCCATCTGTAGGCAATGGATCTACCAGAGATCGTGGTGGTGACTGAAGGAAGCCAGACTCGGAAGGATGACTCCTGAGTGTTGTCTCGCCTATGTGAAACCCAGGGAACCAAAACAAAACAAACTCCAACCTGAGAGGAAACGGGATGTAACCGAGGAAGAGGGAAGAGAACAGGGGCAGACTGCGGATGAGAAAGATGGTTGGCAGGGAGGATACAGTCTAGGTATAAATGAGGATGAAGGAAAATGTCATGAAGAAATGACTCAATTGCGCTAAGGGTGTAGTTCAGTGGTAGAGGCTTGCCTAGTGTCATGGTTTATGCCAGTGGCCCCCAAGCCTCATGAATTATGGACTGGACCAAATATAGCGTTTGTGATTGGCTTAAGCCTAGCGCTCGGATTGGTGGTGTGAATATTTCACCCGCCCAGGGATGGAGCCAGGATGTGATGTAATGGCCGGAAGAGAGTGTGTCTCTCTCTTGCTGGTTTCTGACTTGCCTTTGTAGTTGCCTTGAACTGCGGCCCCACCATGCCACCCTGCCTTGGAGCCAACTGAGTATGGACTGAAACCTCCAAAAGCTGTAAGAAATAAACCTTTCCTTCCCTAACTTTGGGCATCAGGTACTTTCTCAGCAATGAGTAAAAAAGTAACTACCACAGCTAACATACACGAGGTCCTGAGTTCAATCCCCACTACCACAAAAAAGAAAGAAATGGCTCAATTAGTACATGCAAATAATTCTGATTAAAAAAGTAAATGAAGATCTAGAAGTCCAAACAATAGTATCAAAAAGGTAAATATTGATGGATCAGATTTTGTGTATTGAAACAGAAACAGAATCTTTTCAAATGCTTTGGGATACTGTGGACACACATATGAAGGTACCCATGTATAAACAAAAGATTACATGAGTTCACGAACAAAACTGCATTAAATTTCCAAAATAAAAATAACATTGACAGTGTTCTATAGGGGCTGGGGATTTAGTTCAGCAGCATAAGCACCTGCCTTGCAAGCAGGCAGTTGTGAGTTCGATCCCTGGTACCGATAAAAAAAAAAAGATACTGTTCTATAATAATAACGCACTAAACTTCATCATGTACAACATTCAGAACACAAAGGAAAAGTGCCCTTCTGCCTGGGGGTGTGAGGAAAAGGAAGACACAAACTGAACCAGCAATGTCTAGGAAACAGAAATAACAAACACACCATGCAAAGCCTCTAAGAGCACAGCTAAAGCAGCACTCAGGAGGAAAATACATAGCTCACCAGGGCTAGTGTCACACCCCGAGTCCCAGTGCTTGGGAAGCTGAGCCAGGAGGATTGCAAATTTGAGGCAACCTCGACTGTGTGATGAGACCTTGTCTCAGAAAAACAAAACAACAAGAAAAAAACCCAAACCCAAAAATAACTTTCAATAAAGTATAAATGGAAGAAAAACAGTGAATACAAGAGGCTCAAAAAGCTAAAATAAAATAAAATAAAATAAAATAAAATTTAAAATGTTAAAAAGCTAGAAAATGAATTTAGAAATAATCCAGGAGCTGGTGGAATGATACTGGGGTAGAGCACTTGCCCAACCTTTGACATGTTCTGGGTTTGACGATACTGCACACACACACACACACACACACACGCGCGCACACACACACACACACACACAGTAACAGTTAAAATAAGCTAAAAAAATTAATAGATTCATAAGTTAATAAAAATGTAGCATAAGCAAGGAGTTACACATCAGTGGGCCTGGGACAAATAGGGAGGGGTATCGCAAATAGGGAGCAGTAGGGGCCAGGGATATAGCTCAGCAGCATAAGTGTCTGCCTGGCAAATGTAAGGTCCTGAGTTCAATTCTCAATACCAAAAAAATAACACTGGCAGTTCAGTGAAGACACAAAGATGCCAATGTATAAAACCTTTATAGTCATTTGTTAGGCCTCAGACATCAAGGATCTCCCCGAACACAGTGACATTCTCAGGTGACACATTGTACATAGTCCTCCTGGTATATGGGAGACGCTAGATGTCAAATACACAGAGTTCCCCGAAGTCAAAGGATGAATTCTAAGGAACAACAGAAGTTAAGAGTAGGAAAATTTATTAGGGATGGGAATGCGGGATAGGAATAGCTCCTGAGAGACTAGAGTAGGGGGGTGGGGTCCCCAATGGGTTCCCGATGAGGCTTATGAGTCCATTTCTTTGTTTATAAAGCAAAGTCATGAGGGGTGGGTAGAACATGGGTCAAAACTATAATCACCAATAAGAATACCAGTATAGCTGCTTAGGTAACATTGATCCAATAGGGCCATGGCTGGCATCACTAATCTGGGTTGATTTTCTGTAGTCTTAGTCTTAGCGAGTGGAGAGGGTGGCTCACCCCTAATGAACTAATGGGACATCTCAAAGGTGCTAGTAATCTCAGACTTCCCATTGTCCCCTAGGGAAGCATGTATATCTGGCCACTGACTTTAATCTTCAGATGCCCTCCAGTCACAGGAGGGGATGTGCTCTCATCCTCTGCAGTGGCACCGACTCCGGAGAGGGCCCCGCCCTGTCTGACTGCTCCCCATATTTCTGCCTAACTTAGCTATCTGTATTTTTTCTGACTCCAGCTGCGTGGGCCCCTGGTTCCACAAGGTAATTCTGTGGCCTGGCTGCTGTGGCCTGCAGCCCAGGGGAAGCAGGAAGGAAAGTGTCTTGTAGAGATGCTTCTGCCTCAGGTGGGACCTGGTTTAAATTACAAACTTATCTTTCCTAAATGTCTTACCTGATGGAAGCCCTTGAGGACAGGCCGAGCATCTAGGAAGAAAGGGAAGATATTTTTGCAGTTTCAAAGTCAGGTAGAAGCAAAATGTCTAGAAGTATTGTAGCCAGCTAAATTGGTTATAAACTTTACAGGCAGGTAGGGCTGGGCCCCCAGCACAGGAGACAGCTGCAGCCCAGGTTTCGGGAGGAGCGAAGGCACCTGCACACTTCTGCGGGGATGAGCAGCCATGATTGGTACTCTAAACAGGCATCCATCACCTTGGGAGGGAGCCCACAACTCCTTAACCCACCCCTTCCAGCACATTCCTCATCTGCTTGCTATGTGACTTGCTTCCTCATCTGATCCTCATTGAGTCAACACTGCCTAAGTGACTGACTGTATGTATAATCTTATTGGTTGACTATAGTCTTGTCCCACCCTGAACCTGCCTCACCTTGTGATTTTGTTCAATAAAAACACCTTTAAGAAGGAAGTTGACAGCTGACCCACTTTCTGGGCTCCCCTCCATCTCTCACAGACACAAGCCACCTTTCTCTTGATAAATTCTTCCTACTGTTTTTTTTTAAATCTTTTTGAGACAGGGTCTTGCTATGCAGTTCTGACTGGCCGTGAGCTCATTTTGTAGCTCAGGATGGTCTCGAACTTGCAGCAATCCTGCCTCAGCCTCCAAGTGCTGGGGCATGCACCACCTCATGCAGCAATTCTTCCTACTCTTAACCTTCATTGATCCTAGAATTCACTCCTTGATTTTAGAAAACACCAGTTTGGCACTTTGGACATCTAGCAGGTTGAGAGTTATTAGATTTCCCTTCTATTATTTGGAGGTCCATATTCCCTGCCTGTATCACAGGTCCTGTATCAGAAGGACCACAGTCACCATGGTCACCTGAACCCCAGGAGAACTTTTGAGCATAAAAAGGATCCAAACTGGCAGTCATAACAAGTGCCTTCCTGCACTGTGCACCTGTCTGCTGGAAGATGTCACTTCCCTGTATCTACTCTGTCTCACCAAAAAAAAAAAAAAAAAAAAAAAAAAAAAGTCTGCATAATCTTTTCCCAACAAGTTTGAAAATATATGAAAAGCATGATTTTCTTAAAAAAAAAAAAAAACGAGAAAACCAAACCTATCTGAATTTTAAAAAACCTAAAATTTATCAAACTCCCCTAAACAAGAAATAACCAAATCTATTGTCCACAGGGAACTTATACAATTCTACTAATTTTTAAAGAGTGATAATTCCAATTTTTTTTTAAATGCTCCAGTCTAGAAGAAGTAAAACTTACAGATTCTTTTCGCAAATCAAGTATCTCACATAAATACACCGAGACTGCCGCAGAGGAAACATTCCTCCACCTTACCCTTGCTTTTGCGGCTGAGGTTCCTATAGCACCGGGAAGAGTAAAAAAGAGAAGAGTGCGGGCTGGGGATTTAGCTCAGTGGCATAAGCACCTGCCTTGCAAGCAGGCAGTCCTGAGTTCGATCCCCGATAAAAAGGAAAAAGACAAAAATAAAATAAAAAAGAGAAGAGCGTACGATGGAGGTTTTATATTACACAGGTGTCTTCAGAAGCGAAGATCCTAAGAAACACAAAAAGTGGTGCATTTTTTCTTTTCCAGGGCTGGGAACCAAATCCAGAGCCTCACAAAAGGCTGGGAAAGCCTCTGCTAACCTGCATGCCCAGCCCCAAACTTACCTACTTACCAATTTTTATTCTCGGATGTTGTTGTTGGTAGCAGGAATTGAACTCAGGACCCTGCACTTGCCAGGCAGGTGCTTATGTCACTGAGCCATCTCCCTGGCCCTATTCTTGGATTTGACAGAGAGTAAACAGTTGTGAAAGAACATGATTGCAGGGCAAAGCCTGTGATTTAATGTTAAGAAACGGGAGATGTAACGAGGCCTGAGTGGTTAAACTCTCCCCTGCGTCCTGGTGTCCAGCAGTAAGAATGTTCCTTTCCAGCAGGTCCAGAAGGGATATTTCTCAGATGGGGGTCTAGGGTTTGTTTCAGAGGAGAGGGGCAGGGGGGAGGATAAGGAGGACCCTCCCACTTCACTTTCTCTAACCCAAAGGGCCTCTCTAGTCTCAGTGTTTTCTAAACTGCAGAACCTGAGCTTGAATCCAGGGCCTCAGACCTACTAGGCAGGCTGCCTACACTCAGCTCCCTCCACTCCTCACCCCAAGGTGCCACATTGTGGGGAGCATATCTTGAACCCCTCAATACCAACATACGGTAAACATTACAAGAATAAAGAAAATAGAGACAGTCAGGCCAGTCTAATCTATAGATGTCAATACAAAAATCTAAACTGTTAGGAAACAAGTCTGGTATAGTGGCCCACTCTATACCCCACCTACTGGGGAGGCTGGAGCAGGAGAGTCCTAACTTTGAGGCCAACCTGGGCAACTTAGCAAGACCCTATCTCAAAGTGAAATTTCAAAAATGGACTGAAGCCCTGTTGTAGAGCATTTGTCTAGCATGGGTCAGGCCTTGGGTTCATTTTCTGGTATCGAAATTAAAAAAGAAAAGAAAAACCAAATGAAATCCAAAAGCACAGAAAGAATAATATATTGCATCTATATGGAATTTGATCTGGAAGTGGAAATAGGGCCAATATTTTAAAAAATCTATAAGTAGCTCATCGTATTCATAGTTCAAAACAGAAAATGAAGGGCCAGGTATGGTGGCACACACCTGTAGTCCCAGCACTTGCGAGGCTGAGGCAGGAGGAGTTTGAGGTCAGCCTGGGCTACAAAGTTGAGTTCCAGGCCGGCCGGAACAGCAAAAAGACAGAAAAAAAAAATAGACAAAAAGACTCAGTATTTTGTAATAAAGAAATAGGAAATGTTGGCTAAGGAGTATCAGACACATTGAATCATGCACTATGTCAAATAAACTGGGATCTCTAAGACAAAAATAAATAGATAAATAAGCAAATTGCCACATCTTCAAACAATCATGTCTTTATAAATACTAAATAGAATTTGATAACATTAAACATTTTTCTTTGCAGTGCCAGGGATGAACCCAGAGCCTGATTCTAGGCAAGTGTTCTACTGAATCACACACCGAGCTATGAAACAGTCTTTTCTTCTTTGTTATTAGTACGTTTACAGTTCACAGTGATTACATTCGTCGCTGGTACACATACATAACACATCTCAATTCCTCTTTAAATCTCCTTCTCCTCCCCAACCCCTTCCCTCCATCTCTTGATTCCCTTTCCATTTACAAAACAGCAACCATCATATTCACACACACACACACACACACACATATAATATATGTTTCTGATATAAGGAAAACCATGTGATATTTAAGCTCATTTCCCTGATTTATTTCACTTAACATTATGGTCTCAAGATGCATGTGGTACAGTAGTACTTACCACACATAGATACCATGGTACGGCTGGGCATTTAGCTCAGTGGGCTAAGCGCCTGCCTGGCAGGCTCAAGGTTGTGAGTTTGATCCCGGGTACCAAATAAATAAATAAATAAATGCCATGGGAAAACATTAAAGAGACAAATACTTAGGATGTGTTAGACATACTAATCAATGCAGTACCGACATTGAAAATAAACAATGATAAAAGAATTGGTTGGCCAAAATTCCTGCATTTGGGAGGCTGAGGCAGGATTCCCATGAGTTCAAGGCCAATGTGGGCTACTGTCTCATAAAACAAAAACAAAATCCCCAATACCCCCCCAAATAAATTAATTTTAAAAATTAAAAAATTTAATTAAAAGCCAGGTATGGTAGCACAAGCCTGTAACACTCAGGAGGCTGACGCAGGAGGGTTGCTGCAAGTTCCAGGCCAGCCTGGGCTTTAATGTGAGTTATAGTTGAGAACCTGCCTCAAAAAGACAAAAAATAAATAAAAACAAAGCAAACACCAAACCTGTGAGGATATTCTAGAAGATAATCTCAGAAGAGGAGAAAGATGAGGAGGGGAGGGGAGGAGTAGTGGGAGAAAGCACATTCACTACCCTTGAACACTTTGTTTAAGGTGGAGCTAGTCCCCCTCCTCAGAGCGCACTGCATTTAGGGACTTCCTTGTAACGAACTGGGTAAATCGGAAGTGATGGCATGTGACCAGGAGTCCAAGACATGAAGATACTGTGGCATTGTCCTGCTCCTCTGTGATTCACTTACGTTTGTTTTTTTTTTTTTTTCTTTTTATCACTACTGGGGATCGAACTCACAACTGCATGCTTGCAAGGCAGGCACTTATGCAGCTGAGCAAAATCTCCAGCCCCATCCCAGAGCATTTTCACAACATGAAAATTTTTTGGGGAGCAGTGGGACCAACTACCCACAGCCCTATCCATGAGCCACCCCGGGGTGGGGTCACCAGCCTGGGCAACCTTCAGCTGCCCACACCACTGGACGACAGAGAGCCGGAAACCTTCATACAGCCAGAGAGCGCCTCCTCAGTGCCCGGCACAGGAATGGGAGACGGAAAATGTTCACTGCTTTAAGGCACTGCATTTGGGAGCAATTTGTTATGCAGCTACACAGCTAATACTGAAGGTAAATAAAGATATTTTTGAGCAGAAAAGGGGGAAACAGTGTGGGACCAGAAGACCTGTACAAAAGGAAATCTGAACATGGTGAATAACTTCAGGTATAAGGAAAATGACACTAGACACAAGGTAAGAGATAGATCAGGAATGAAGGGAACAGAGTGGCAAATATGAATATAAGCCGAAAGCTTCACTGGATTTAAAGATATGCCACACACTTTGGAGGTTGAGGCAGGAGGATCGTTTCAAGTTCAAGATGAGCCTGGGCTACAAAGTGAGCTCAAAGCCAGCCTGAACTGCACAGTGAGACCCTGTCTCAATAAATAAATAAATAGACATGTCACAATAAGAAGTCATAACTAAATGGAGAGATACACTATGTCATTTAATGGAGAGGAAGAGTCATTTTTCCCTGGACAATCTATAAATTTCAATATCAATTGAAAAGTGTGTTTCCGTGGAAACTGACAAACCAATGTTAAAGACTAAAACAGAGTGATTTTTATTAAAGAACACATCTGATGGACTCATATAGCCTAATTTTAATATTTACCACAAAGCTATCTAAAGTCTGGCAAACTATGACCCACACGCTGATGGTGGGTGGCCTGTTTTTGCCAGCTTACAAGCTAAAAATACTTTTTTGAACTTTTATAGTTGAGAAAGGGGAAAAACGTGAAGTGGGAGAATTGACTTTGTCTCTAGCAAGAAATACACTCTAAGAAAGTCTGAGTCGCAGAAACAATTGGGCTTGCCGGAGTTCTGTGAAATGCTCAAATAAAGTTTTAAAACTGCTGCATATTTTATATAATACTAATATAAACAATGTTCGGTATGATTCTATCACTTGTATAATATTAAAAATTCCACACTGTAGCTGAGTGTGATGGCGCATGCCTGTGATCCCAGCACTCAGGAGGCTGAGGCAGGAAGATCACCATGAGTTAGAGGTCACCTGAGCTACACAGTAAGAACCCTGTCTCAGAAAAACAAACCAAAAAAATTTCCATGTTGTGAAAATGCTCTGGGATGGGGCTGGAGATTTTGCTCAGCTGCATAAGTGCCTTGCAAGCATGCAGTTGTGAGTTCGATCCCCAGTAGTGATAAAAAGAAAAAAAAAAAAAAAACAAACGTAAATGCTCTGAGTGTGGAGACACACAGCTATAACTGCAGCATTCTGGAAGGTTGAGGCAGAAGGATCAAATATATGAGGCCAAGCTGGGCAATTTAAGACCCTATCTCAAAATAAAAAGTAAAAATAAAAAAGGGCTGGGGAATAGCTCAGTACAAAGAGTCTGGATTCAAACCTCATTGCAGAGAGACAGACAGAGAGAGAGAGAGAGAGAGAGAGAGAGAGAGAGAGAGAGAGAGAGAAAGAGCAATATCTATCTGCACACTTTTGTGTTCTACAACTGAATGCAAAGTAGAATACGCCTGCGCAGGTATACATGTATGCCGTGCCTCATCACTGTCTGAATAGCTGCTGCATGGCCCTTAACTTTTTCAGATCCTACAGGCAAGGTTAAGGTTATAGGTGTAGTTTCTGTTCACCACGTCTGGGTTATTATTTCTAGGTCAGCTTCTACTGTGTACAATCAAGTGATGAACAAATTGACTCAGAGGCCCTCAAGAATATTAAGAGCCTGTATGTCATCCCAGCACCTGGGAGGCTGAGGCAGGCAGATCACCTCAAGACCAGCCTGGGCTACGCAGTGAATTCAAGGGAAGCCTGAACAGTATAGTGAAACCTTGCCTCAAAAAAGACAAAAGAAAGATAAAAGAAAAAGAAAGACAGACAGAAAGGAAGAATGTTTAGTGCTTTTCTTTCTTTTTTGTTTTGAGGTACCTGTGGTTGAGCCCAGAGCCTCATGCATTGTAGGGCAATACTTTCCTGCTGAGCTACAGGCCCAGCCCTCTTTTTTAAAAATCCTTTTTACCCACTGGACGTGTTGGTGAACATCTGTAATCCTGAGTGCTGAGATTACAGATGTTCACCAACACGTCCAGTTCATCGAATGCTTTTAACAGTTTGGTTAATCTGCATTTCCATACTCTATTGGCTTTCTGGATGCTCAGGTCGACACCCCAAAGAAGCTGCAGAAGCAGCAGGCAGCACATGGTCAGTTCTTGTGCCAGAGTCCTGCTGACCACATAGGACCCACATTGCAGCCCTCCTAGACTCACAACAGTACCTCTGAGAATGATGGGGAATGATGGAGAAGCCCATTAAGTCAATAACATGTCAGACTGGGTGGAGGCTCAGGGAATTTCCCAGTTGCCGAAGCTGACTGCTTCCCCAGACCGGGAATTCACCACTCTGAGAGAAGTTTCTTTCTCCCAGTGAATCTTCTACCTGCTCCTGTGACACATGGCAGAGTCACAGAAACCTCTCAGACCCACCTGTTTGTCTCCTCTGGACACATCCATTCTGCAAACTCAGACATCACTGCTGTGGTTAAAATCTTTCAGTGATTCCACATTCTTCTTCCGGTCCATGCCTGCTGGCCTTGCTGATCCTGGCTGACATCGCCTCCATGCCATCCCCTTGCTGGTCCGCGGGCTTGCAGTTCTCTCCCTAGGTGAGACTGCTGCCACGGTCTACTCCCTTTCCAAGGTAACTCCTGCTCGCTCTGGCTGTCTAGCATTCCTTTCCTGACCCCGGGACTGGGCAGGTCCCTTTGCTTACTCATGCTCGCGGCACTCTGAGTTTCTCCTTACTTGATAACGTTCAACATTTCCATTTACTTGAGCAACTATGTCACTTATGTCTGCCTCCCCCACAAGATGACATATTCATGACAGCAGCGTTGAGTTTCCTTTCATTGCATGCCCAGCCCTAGGAATACTTGCCTAGCAAGCATTCACTCCAGGAAAGCAGGTGCCCAGATGGGCAGGTACATGAGGTCTCGGGATAGGGTGGCGCCTGGGGAAAAAAGGATACGGCACAACTCCAGCGGACATTCAGCTGTGCCTTGGAAGGGGCGCTCCAACTCTGTGCTTGTGGGCCTCAGTTTCTTCACCGGTTCCCTGCAGGGTAGATTCTGAATCGCACTTGCAGCCTGGGTAGACAGACCAACGCTAAGCCCTGAGCGCACCTCTGAAGGGTCCCCGCGCGCGCGCAGCCTGAGCCCCAGCAAGCTGCCACACCCGACGAGGGCGCTCTAGGCCGGTCCTCCCGAGCAGTCGCGCGCGCGCCCTCAGGGCCTCTCTAGCCGCCAGGCGCTGGCGCAGTGCTTGTCGGGAAGGCGGCGCGCGGTGTCGGCTCTCGGCGGCGGCGCCGGGAGCCATGGTAGGTGGCGAGGCGGCCGCTGCGGTGGAGGAGCTGGTTTCCGGGGTGCGGCAGGCGGCCGACTTCGCCGAGCAGTTCCGGTCTTACTCCGAAAGCGAGAAGCAATGGAAAGCTCGCATGGAATTCATCCTGCGCCACCTGCCAGACTACCGCGACCCGCCAGACGGCGGCGGCCGCCTGGACCAGCTGCTGTCACTCTCCATGGTCTGGGCCAATCACCTCTTCCTGGGCTGCAGGTGCGGACCCCTGCCGTCCAGCTGACCCCCTCCCCTGCCTGCCGACCCTCCGCCCTCTCCCAGGGCTCGCCCCGGACCGGGGTCCCTGCCCCATCTCCCGGCTCCCGCCGCATGAGCTGCCCGCCGGCTTCCTCCCGCCGTGGCGGCCACTTGCAAAGATGCTTACCTAACTCCTCTGAGCCTCTGTCCTGGGTTGGTAAATGGGCGGTTATGACATCTATAATAATTGAACCATGAAGAACGCGATATATGGTTGGGCTCGAGTTGCTGTATTGCCAGTGCTGTTGCTTTACTGTTATTATCTCGACCTACCGCTTTTTTTTTTTTTTTTTTTGGTCTTTTTCCTTTTTTTTATCGGTACCAGGGATCGAACTCACGACTGCCTGCTTGCAAGGCAAGCGCTTATGCCGCTGCGCTAAATCTCCAGCCCCGACTTACCGCTTTTGCAGAGTACGTTTTAAGTCCATGAACTTTCAACGATAGGGCAGGAGCTGAGACAGAAACTAAGAACACCCGAAGGAGAGGAAGTACCGCGCCTAAGGCCGTGCAGCTTCTGGCAGGACTGGAGGATTTTATACCCGATGGCGGGATGTAATCTGTGTCCCTTGGCGTTTGCTCCCGGCTCCCAGCCTGCTGGGTCCTGAGCAGCAGTCGACTTTGCCCCTCTGCTTTCCCTCTAACAGGTGCCTTGTTGTCAAGGTCCTGGAATCCACAGCATCCCGGCTTCTGCCCAGCAGGCCTGCCTTCATAAGGAGCGGTTGATCTCAGGGCTTAGTTATGTCTTTTTATTTTACGGTCCCTTGAAGCTGTGTTAGAGGAGAGGGATGGCTTGGTTGGGTCCTAATTTGTGTACCCTGAGTAGTATCCAGCCCCTCCAAGCCGTGTTTGAATTTCCTTCAGTACTAGAAATTGAATCTACTCATGCTAAGCATGTGTTCTAGCACCGAGCTGCATTCTGAGCCCCAGGCCTCGTGGGGGTTTTTTCTATTTGGTTTTTCTTCTTCCTCTTGTGGTTTTGGGGTTTATTGGAACAGGATAAAGGGAAGTCATGCCAAATCTATCCATCCCTTCTTTCTGGCTTCTAGGTGACCCTAGGGAAATCCTGGTTAACAAATCCACGGTTAGGTGTACAGCAGATGAGCCAGGCATGCCCGCCCAGCATTCTGGGAGTTGGAAGCAGGAAGATTACAAGTTCTAGCCCAGCCTGGGTGACTTAGTAAGACTCTGTCCCCCCAAAAATAGGAGAAAAAAAAAAAGGATGAGGGATGTGACTCAAAGGAAAAGAAAAAAAAATGAGCAAAAGAACAAATGTTATTTTCACAAGTCTGACATTCTACATGTTTAAAAAGTAATAACAGTTTTTTGCCTTCATCCACTATGTGTGAAATGTACTTCCAGATGTGTGGAAAGAGATTTCCTTTTGTAAATCTTGAAACGTGCTCTGTTGACATTCCTGCTCACTTCTGTACCCACAGCAGGAAGAACCTTTTCTTAGCCTGGTGTCAAATGTGTGTCAGTTTCCCCTGTAGTATCTAGTTAGTTCTTTGGAAACCCTGGTACAGTGGCACACAGTTGTAGCTTCAGCTGTTGGGGAAGCTGAAGCAGGAATATCATTTTGAGTTCCAGGCCAGCCTAGGCAACATAATGAAATTACGTCTTTAAAAAAAAAAAAAAGTTCAGTTCTCTTAGAGTTCTCTTAAGAGTTTACAGACCAGAAACTTGCACCTTCCTATTAACTTAAGGTGAGTAGTGTTTCTTCCCATTTTTACCTTCATACTTTTTATTGTGCAGTTACAGTAAAGACCTTCTGGACAAGGTGATGGAAATGGCTGATGGAATCGAAGTGGAAGACTTGCCTCAGTTTACCACCAGATGTGAATTAATGAAAAAGGTAAACAGGATTTCCAAGTGTGTTTAATGAACCAACGTGGAGTTCATGGCTCTTAGTTTGATGATACTACATCAGAGTAATTGTTCTTGTGTGTCTGAGAGAGAGCATCTCCATGTCCCCCAGGCTGGCCTTCACCTCACAGCTGCTCTCCTGCCTCACCTCCCCAGGGCTGGGATTACAGGTGTGCTCCATCTCGCCTAGCTTGATGATATATATATTTTTAAAATGCTTTTATTTACTATCCCACAGGTTTAAGCCCATTTGCATTTTCCCATGATTAGTAATATCCCCCCTTTTTTTTTTTCTTTTTTATCTTTTTGAGACAGGCTGGTCTTGAGCTCATTTTGTAGCCCAGGCTGGTCTCGAACTTGCAACAATCTTTCAGCCTGAGTAATATAACTTTTGATGACTAGGTAGCAGTTCAGAATGAAAAACCCACAAGCTCAGCCTTTTCAGTTTGTCCAGCAATACTCCATTTTAAGTTTTTTACTTGATTTCAAAGAAACTCTTGAGTAGAGTGCTAAAGTTGCACCTGTTAACAGATCTTACCTGTAGCGAGGTACCCATCTCTGCCGCAGCAGGCGAGGGCGGGGTCAGGCTTGTGTGGCGCCTCCACAGTGACGGGCACATGGCTGGAGTGACGTCCAGGTACCACGCTGTTCCCTTCTCTACAGGGCCTGGGCCAGATGGAGGCTGTGGCCTTGAACGTGGTCTGGCTGAGCCTCTTGTGTTTGGACCCTGGTGCTGGGCTCAGCAGTGTTGTAGAAAGAACCTCAGACATGGCCGAGCATCCCTGCTACCTTTGTCCCGGGCTCCTTAGGCAGAATAATTGCTCTCTTCTTTCCTAGAGTTCCTTTGACATTTATCACATTTTTCAAAGCATACTGTGACCCTGAGGGTGCCTGATACTTTAGTTCTTACACCTGTAGAACGTGGTGTAGACATAACTTTGAGAAGATACTCAGAAAATACAGATTTGACCAAAGCAGACAGGTGAGGTGGCACACGCTGTAATCCCAGCACTCATAAGGCTGAGGCAGGAGTATTATGAGTTCAAAACTAACCTAAAGCTATATAGTGAGACCCTGTCTCAAAAAACCAAAATACGTTAAGAAAAATGAAAGTTGACCAAAGTAGTAATGAACTTCTGCCCTGTTTTTAGTTCTATCTTTAAAAACACAGTAAGTCCTTGTTTCTTTATTTTGGGAGGCAAAGACACATAAAGACCTCCCCCGCTTTTTTTGCCTTCTTTCTTTTTTTTTTTTTTTGTGAGACAGGGTCTCACTATGCAGTTTAGGCTGGCTTTGAACTCACAGTGAACCTCTTGTCTCAGCTTCCCAAGTGCTGAGATTATAGGCATGTCTACCATGCCTGGCTTTTTTGTCTTTTTGAGACAGTGTCTAGGGGCTGGGGATTTAGCTCAGTGGCATAAGCGCCTGCCTTGCAAACAGGCAGTCGTGAGTTCGATCCCTGGTACCGATAAAAAACGAAAAAGAGACAGTGTCTAACTATGCAGTTTAGGCTGGCTTGAACTCACTGTGTAGCCCCGGTTGGCCTCAAACTTGCACGATCCTCCTGCTTCAACCTCCTGAGTGCTGGGGTTACAGGTGTGTGCCACCGAGCCTGACAAGAGGTCCCTTTAACTCAGGGAACTAATGAAGTCCTTAGCTTCCCAGAAACTATTTGAGCTCAAACTTGATTTTACCCCATTTCATTTCAGTTGGTCTGTTTTTCTTAAAACAAAAAAGAATTTCATTAAGAGTTCAGAGATCAGAACACATAATGAAATTCAGACCATAATGCTCTTGGGAGGAGAAGAAAGAGATTTGACGTTTGCAGAGCACTGTCATCCAGCAGAGTGAAGTGTACATGCGTGTGTGTGTGTGTGTGTGTGTGTGTGTTGGGAAGGCCCTGTCTAAACTGTTAAATATGGTGGAGTTTGCACCTTAGAAATGGACAGAGCCCTCTCTGGGGTCTTTTTTCCACACTGTCATTGCCCAGTTTGAGCCTCCAGAAAAGTGTCCTTGGGCCTAAACTTCTTGTCCCAGAGGGTAGCATTGCTGTCACACAAAGCGTAAGCATTGAGCAGCTGGAGGGACCTGTGCTGGGGCTCAGAGTTATGTGTGTTACAGCTTCATTCAAATAAAACTAGTATTTTCTTAGTGACCAGTTTAATTTTAGACTTGATAATAATGAAGATGATGTTCTGCTGCTCCTAAAAAGTGAGCTACTTTGGGGCTGGGGATTTAGCTCAGCAGCATAAGCACCTGCCTTGCAAGCAGGCAGTCGTGAGTTCGATCCCTGATACCGATAAAAAGTTTTAAAAAAAAGTGAGCTACTTAAGGGGCGCATTGAGTCTCCCCAGTTGAGACACGACATGGGACAGGCCCAGCTGTAGCGCTCACCTTGGTTCACGGAGCCCGGGTTCCGCCCCCAGCGCTGCCCAGAGGTGGGAACTCCTCCTCCGTACGCCATCCTGAGAGCAGGTCATCTGTGTGCCGCCTGACTTCCATGAACTTGGGGCTCTCCCCTCTGAGGGCCAACCCGAGGACCCCCTGGAAGAGGCCCATGAGGTCTTCACAGAAGATTTTGCACGTAATAGAGGAAGCTGGCAAACTTCAGGCAGGAGCGCAGCACAGAAATGGAAACTGAGCCCCCCCATCCAGTCATGCGCTTGCCAGTGTCGGTTGTGCTGCCCAGCATTGATCCCTTCACTCTAAAATTAAAGTTTCTCTGGGCTTTAAAGCTTGCTAGCCAGCGAAATGAATCACCTGATCACCTGGCAGTGCTGGGATCTTCAGTCTGGACAGTGATGATGACTGGAGACAGAAGGCCTCTAAGATTTTGGCGGGGGAGGACTGGGGATCAAACGCATGACCTTTCACTTGCCAGGCAGATGCTTAAGCCACTGAGCTAAATCCCCAGCAGCCTCCAAGATTTACTGCAGCTTGGGGATGAGTACATCTCTGTGGTTTTTGGCTTTCTTTCTGTTGTTTTGTTTTAGTAGAGAAATGAGCATTTTTTTATTCTTTTTTGGGTTTTTTTGGGGGGTGGGGACAGGGTCTTGCTACGTAATTCAGACTGGCCTTGAGCTCACTTTGTAGTCCAGGCTAGTCTCAAATTTGCAAAGATTCTCTTGCCTCAGCCTCCCAAGTGCTGGGATTATGGGCGTGTGACACCACACCTGGTGACATTGGTCTTTGATGGGTAGAATTTTTTTAGCTTGTTTTTGGTGCTACTGGGGATTGAACCCAGTGCCTTCATGCTGAACTACATCCCCAGCCCTTTTGTTTTTTTATTTTTAGATAGCATTTTGGTAAGTCATACAGGATATTCATAAGTCAGTACATTGCCTGAGCTGAGATTGAATTTGCAGTCCTCTTGCCTCAGCCTCCAAGAGTTATGGAATTAAAGGTGTTTGCCACCATGCTTGCTAGACAGATATAGTCTGTGTCAAACAGTTGCAGTGTGTGATTTATTTCTTTTGAAAGAGAGAGGTTCAAACACAGATCTATTGAGCGAAATGATTCTGATTTCTCCCCACTGCCCTGGGGTACCCACCCCCCAGCCTGTGGCTGCCCAGCACCCATCAATGAAAGATAATTAACAGCTGACTCAGGAAGGTGTGTGCACTGGGAACGTCAGTGCTAGTTAGTATTCCTGGGGTGATGTGGTAAGCGGGGAACCCAGTGACTGAGGAGGAAGCACCATCGGCGCCATGGGGAAAGCTGTCAGCTCAACGGGTCCATTTTTCCCGAGAACACTTTTATCCCAAGAGGAAAATGATAGCATGAAAAGATGACAAGTGGAGTGTGAAGCAAAGTGAACACGAGTGTGCCCGTGTCCAAGAGGTTCTCTCGTGCCAGTCCTGGCAAGCGCCGAGGTGACGCAGTGGTGAGGGCAGCCATGTGCTAAGGTGCTGCTTACTGGTGAATATTTAGGAAACGAAACGAAAGCAGCCTCTCAGTCAGAGGCTGCCGCCTGTCATTTCCCTCTAACGTTCTAGAAGTAGAAGTATTCGTGTCTGGTGCCCAGGATGCGCAAACCGCCTGCGCTGGCAGAAGCCAGCACCAGCCAGAGCAGTCGTGCTGCCGTGTCCTAGTAGAAATTTGAGCTGGCTAGGGGACTTTCCCTCTTGGGAATGAAGATGGTTTCTCTGAGTGACACCCAGTCCCCCACAAAAGAGAAGATTCTTTATCTTTTGCTTTTGCTGAGGACTTTGGTTTTTCATCTGTTTCTTTTCCTGTTGTACTGGGGATTGAACCTCGGTCCTTTAGGCTGAGCTGCTTCCCAAGCTGGTCTGTCTGTTTTTTCTTTTCTGTTCTTCTTTCTTTCTTTCAAGACAAGGTCTCCGCTATGTAGTCCAGGCTGGCCTTCAACTCACTATGTAACCCAGACTGGCTTTGAACTCACACTGATCTTCCTGCCTCAGCCTCCTAAGTGCTGGGATCACAGGAGTGTGCCGCCACACCCAGCAAGGCTGTTTTTATTCTGAAACAGGGTCTCACCGGTTTGCTAGGAAACAGATCATACCTTGAAATCTCTGATTACTAAAAGACTCTCAGGTTGATTCATTCGTACTGCTAAATGTTCAGGAAATCCACTCGAGCACAAGGTGACAGCCAAAGTGAATCTTCGCACCCTGCTTAAAGAGTTGTCTAAAGCCAAGTTTAAATGTATCAAAGGTGCTAGAGAGTACCCTGGAAGAACCTGTGTGCTTCAGTTTACCCGTTTGGAGATGCTTTTGCAGCTTTTAACAGTGTGAACTCAGAAACACATAACCTTCACATCCCCCAGATACCCTGACTCAATGTGAAATGTTGTGAATTACTACCTGAATCACACTGCTGTTAATTTAGAACAGTAAGTGTTCGTGTGATTCTGCTTTTAGAGAGCACACCAGGAAATACATCTGAAGTATTTCCATGATTGCTTTAAATTGCGAGCATTTATAGATCTGCGAGTGACGAGAACATTAGGCTGTGGTGTCGAAATGGACAGTGTGGTCAGTGCTTTGCTGAGTTTTTGGACATAGTGAAATATTAATAATTTCTGAGTAGACTTATCATCTGGGTGGTACTAACATAAAACACCACCGCTGCATTTCTTTTGTGAAGATGAATTGATTCACTGGACTTTATGGCCCCTGACCTTTTTTCTTTTCTTTTTCCCAGCATCAGAGCTAAGATTCACCACATTTTCGTCATCAGCAACAGGTCCAGGAAGGAGGCTGGGAAGGATGTGACCGTGACCACAGCAGCTCTCACAGACCTTGCTGTTACCAGCATGACCAGGCGGTGGGCATGACAAGGAATCTGTCTGGATCGACTTTTTAAAAGTCTTCATCCTTCCAGTAGCTGTCACTGTAGAAGCCTGCAGGGATGTGCATGTGTTTATAAATGCTGCATTGTAAGATGACTTATCAACATTGTGCAAGCCAGACCTTGTTTAAATGCTTTCTTTTTAGCCAGGCGTGGTGGTGCACACCTGTGATCCCAGCACTTGGAGCTGAGGCTGGAAGAGTCCTGTGAGTTCGAGGCCAGCCTGAGCCACATAGTGAGCCCAAGGCCAGTCTGAACTACATAGTGAGACCCTGTCTCAAAAAATAAACACATAATAAAATGCCTTTTTTAAAAAAAATCGATGTGATAAATGGCCGGTAGTGAATTTTATGGTTCGTGTTTTTCAACAACATAACTTTAAGTGTGATTCTGTTTCTTGGCTTTTTTTCTCTCTCTAAAGCAAACCAAATCCTTTATTTCCTTGATGCTACCTGGTTTATACCTTTATCCCTCCGCCGTGAATGTCTTATCTTTCTGTAGAAAATGAGAATCACATCATAGACCTGAAGTCATTGTGCGCAGGCTCATGGGACGAGGCAGTCTCAGGGCTTGTGAGAAGCGAATATGTGCTTTGGGAAGCTCAGGTCACAGTGATGTTTTCTCATGTTACCCTACACCCAGAAAACTGCTCTCAGAATACTGCTAGCATCTGTGGCCTGCTTTTGCCTCAGAGAGGAAAGTTAGCAGGATACCTTCCCAGAGTGACGAAACCCTCTGAATTTTGCCAGTGTTCACTCGGACCAGTTGCTTACCTGTCTATGGGCCCTGGGAGAAATTAGTGTCCATCCTCTGGTATTTACAATCTAGTAAAATGCGTACTATCCCATCTAAAATGAGCTCTCCGTCCCCCTACATAGCAGGTGTTACCCACTTCCACAGCTCCAGAGCCTGCCGTACACCCCTCCATCTGGGAGGATAGTGTCAACGTCTGATATCTGAGGCCTGCATGCCATGACACCTGGTCACATGCTCTCATCTCTGACTGGTTAGCGACACCTCTTTGTAGGAGTGTAAGCCTAGATCTTCACTTTGGAGGCAAGAGTTTGAGGACCTGAGCTAACTTATAGTTATGTGGGAACTGCTTCATTCAACAAATGCTGAGTACATACCAAGGAAAAATCTCTGCCCTTTGTGTGCGTGAGGCCGAGCAAGCCAGGCAAGTTTCTTGCTCAAAGCTCACTGCACTTCCTGCAGGGTAGGACCTCCAGGGCTAGGTTAGGCCTCCCCTGGTCTGGAAGGGACCATGGCAGGGGCAGGTCAGGTCCCTTGTGTGTGTCCCTTCAGTGACCGGCAGCTGAAGTCTTGGTTGGGCATCCAAAGATTTGGGTCTGGCTAAGCTGGTAGCATACAAAGGTCACCAATGAAACACACATTCAAAGCATGGGAAACAAAAATGACACTAAGCTCCCTAGAGATTTGGCTGTCACCTAGATCTGTGCATGTGATCCAGAGGTTTTGTCCTTGAAAGTATTGTCAGACAGGAGGGCCTTGTTAAGAGTCCAGTCCAGCTGGTCCCAGCCCAAGTCTCTTCCTTCCGAGCCTACAGGTGAATTAACCCAAAAATCATCTTTGAGTATGCCTGACCTCACTTGCCTGAGAGATAACGGTGAGAATGTCACTGTTAGGGACAAGGCTGGCCATGGACCTTCCCAGGTTTAATCAAGGGGCAATGAGCAAAAGAGGGGTCAACCTGAGCTGAATGGGCCTAGCGACCAAAGCTTTGGCTTTGAATGAAAGTTGGTATTAGGCATGATGGCACATGTCTGTATTCCCAGGATTTGGTAGGCTGAGGCAGGTGGATCCTGCAAGTTTGAGGAAGGCTACTTGGTCCAAGCCCCACCTGCACTACATAGCAAGACTCTGTCTCAAAAAAAGAACCTGCCCCCACAAAAAAAAAAAAAAAAAAAAAAATTTGACATCAAAATCTCATCCTCAAAGCTGGTGTGTAGATACCTGTAATTCCAGTACTCTGGGAGGTTGGGGCGGGAAGGTCACTCCCAAGTCTGAGCCCAGCATAGACAATTTATCAAGACCAGGCCTGGTGACACACACCTGTAAACTCAGTACTGGGAGGCTGAGGCAAGAGGATTACTGCAAGTTTAAGGCCTGAACTGCATAGTGTGACCCTGCCTCAAAAAAAGACCAAAAAAAAAAAAAAAAAAAAAGATTGGGGCTGGGGGTTTAGCTCAGCAGCATAAGTACCTGCTCTGCAAGTGCATGGTCGTGAGTTTGATCCCCAGTACCAAAAAAAGACAAAATTATTTTTAAAAAAGGCTGACAATTGGGGCTGGGGATTTAGCTCAGCGGCATAAGCACCTGCCTTGCAAGCAGGCGGTCGTGAGTTCGATCCCCGGTACCGATAAAAAAGAAAAAGACAAAAAAAAAAAAAAAGGCTGACAATGCAGCTCATTGCAAAGGCCCTGGGTTTAATTCTAAGTCCTGATAATTAAGTAAACATGTTTTAGCTAAGTGCTATGGCACATACCTCTTACTCCAGCCTCTCAGAGGCTGAGGCAGGAAGATTATAAGTTTGAAACCATTTGGGGCAACTTAGTCCGACCCCTCTCACTGTAAAAATGAAAAGGGTTGGAGATGCAGCTCAGTGGTATGTGGAGACCCTGGTCCAATCCCCAGTGCCAAACCAGGAAAAGCACACGCTCACCTCGTCTCTCAAGGGTGCATTTTCTTTTTTTTTTTTTTTTTTTGCCTTTTTGAAGTTTTTATCGGTACCAGGGATCGAACTCATGACTGCCTGCTTGCAAGGCAGGCGCTTATGCCACTGAGCTAAATCCCCAGCCCCATCAAGGGTGCATTTTCCTCTCCTTTGACCATCTCCCCACTTGGGAACAGGACCTGGCTGGTGTGTAAGTGGGTCCACGTGCACTTCCTGTGAGTGACCCTCATACTTGGTACTCTGAAACTTGCCAAACTGGTATTCATCACGTTGATGTGAAAGCTTTGTCCCAGGATTCAACATGTGCTACTGAGAGGCAAGCTGGACTTGGGATTTTGTCTTTTCACTGACCTTCAACTCACTTTGTAGCCCAAGGTAGCCTTGAAATTGCAGTGATCCTCCTGCCCCAGCCTCCTGAGTGCTGGGGTGACAGATGTGCACCACCACACCAGGCTAGACCTTGGCTTTGATTACCCTGTGACTTGCTAACCTTTCCATTCAGAACAGTTTGACACTTGTCATCTTTGGTGCTTGTACTTCCTGGGATCCTTACCTCAGGGAAGGCATCTACAAAGTGGGCAATTTCTCATTTCCTGCAGGATTCCAGAGTGGTTCCTGCCTGTATCCCTTTGAGGCCAAACTGGGGAAGACAGGAAAACTTCTCAACTGGGATTTGCACTCACGCGCAGCCAAGCTCTGTCCTCAGGGCCGTAAGAGGGTGAACCTTAAGCTGGGGAGCAGGGTCTAATGGCCAACTGGGCACTGCAAGCTGGTCTGGGTTTCTTAGACCCCTGGAGCTGGATCTGGGGGGTCTGGGGACTGTGCTGTGAGCACGGCCTGCTCCAGTGGTATGGGGCAGGCCTGTCCCACTGTCCTGAACACTAGCTAGATTCCTCACCACTCTGCCTGAGAATTCTGGACGCCGGCCAGCTGGTCACACGTCCCTTCGGTCAGCTGTCTCCAACATCTCGGGTGGGTAAACTGACTCCTACCACCTTTTTGTACTTACCAAATTTTTTTTTCATGACTATTTTCCACTTTTATAACGAAACAATCTCAAGAACAGCTATTTAGTGTTCCCAGAGCACTTGGCTGGACCCCAGAGGTCCTCTGCTGTCTCCTAGGCCTCCTGCCCAGGCCTGCACTTGCAGAAGTCATCCGGAACACACGTCCTACAGTTCGTTTGCTATTTGTATTGTTCCCGTTACCTGATCCCTAACACTGACTGTGGCCTGCTCTCCAGCTACTCTGTCCCAAAGAAGACCCAATCTCAAACAAAGTGATGAGTGCTGACAAAAGCCAGGGAGGGGAGAATTCCGTCACAGATGTGTATGTCAAACTTGCGACGGGGTGGCCTCAGTGCTGCTGCCCTTGCTCATCTTGCTGGCGCGGACAGTACCCTTGCACCTGCTCCTGGAATGGTTCGAAGGGCAGCCTCGCAGCGGATGTTCTAGCGAGTCTGCACCCAAAACTGCAGCGTTCCCGGCCCCTGTGGGCACGCTCCTACGAGCAGACACATCCAGGTCAGCACTTAGCTTTTCTTTGGAGTACTCTTTCCAGCCTGTAGTGAAATCTCTGGAATCCTCTCGAGTCTTTGCCGAGTATGGTTGTCAAGCCAAACAAAGGCAGGTTTTCCCAAAGGAAGAGGAAATTAGCCCTTAAATTTGAGCTGAGGTTGTAGGGAAACAGCTTCTAGATCATTGTTTGAACTTAGTAGCACCGACCCTGAGCTGGAACATTCCCAACTGTGTTCTGTGATTTCACAGGGAGGCCAAAGAGCTGCACACGCTGGCATCCTTTTCTTCAGAAGTTCTGCGAGGCACCTGAGCTGGGGAACTGTGCATTCTTGGTAAAGGAGCTTGCATGGGGGGCCAGGGACATGGCTTAGCAGTGCAGTGCCTACTGGCGAGCATTAGGTCCTGAGTTCAACTGCCAACACCAAAATACCCAAACCAAAACCAAAGATATTGTTTGAAACTGGGGAGGGAAGAAAGTAAGTTTATCCTCGGGGCTTAAAAGCAGCAGCAGTCTTAAATCAATTCTTTGATTGCTTTTTACTTTTTAAATTTTTTTTTTATTCTTTTTCGTTTTTATCAGTACCAGGGATTGAACTCACCACTGCCTCCTTGCAAAGTATGCACTTCTGCTGCTGAGCTAAATCCCCAGCCCCATTTTTTTTTTCTTTTTCATTTTTATCGGTACCAGAGATTGAACTCACGACTGCCTGCTTGCAAGGCAGGCGCTTATGCCGCTGAGCTAAATCCCCAGCCCCTACTTTTTAAAATTTTGAGACAGAGTCTTGCTTTGTATGTAGCGCAGGCTGCCCCTTAACTCAAGCAATCCTCCTGCCTCAGTCACCCAAGTGCTGGGATTACAGGTGTGTGTCACCATCCACGGCCGTTTGCTTTCAAGAGGTGTGCCTTACATGCTTCTGTGTTCTCATCTTGGTAGTAGTAAACACTTCCACATTCCAGTCAGTCACTAAAGGCTTTAGTTTGAGAGGCTCTGATTCCCTTTATACAAGTTCCAGCCCAGTAGCACCTTCAGGACGTCTGCCAGGAAAGATAAGCTAGCTTTCTCCCAGCGACTACACAGCACCTTGGTTGCGTGTACCTGCGTAGCTG